CCATATTAACCCTTGAGCCTCTCAAGAGTGATCCCTGATAGCAGAGCAAGTAGTAAGCCCTGAGAACTGCTGGATGTGACCCAAAAGCAAACAAATAAACAAACATATGCAGCCTAGTGACATTTCTTTTGTTTGCTTTGCATATATCTTCCATGATGTGTTGGCTTCACAAAATATTTTGCAAAAGGCAATTTTCTATCTATCCTTTCCATGTTTGGGTGGCAAGCTTCACTATTACCTCAATGTCCTAATAAAATTTAGGTGATAAAACATAAACAATTATGAAAATAAAGAAATGGCTTTAAGCGTTTCTTCAGATACGCAAGTAATAAGAGAAATGGTGAAGAAAGAAACATGGATCTTCCCCCAGCACTCCTAATATAGAGCAGTTCTCTCCACTGTGCTCTTCCAATAACAAGAAGTCAAACAGTCAACATTCATCAAAGCTTTATTTCTATACCAAGGCTACAACAAAGATGGGGAAGGAAGGGCTGACAGGGTCCTATAAAACTATACATCCTTAAGAATTCATCCTAAGAAAATATTTACACAAGGGGTTGTTCACTGTCATTGTTAATCACAGATAAAAACTAAAAACAAAATAAATATTTTACTAGTGGATAACTGGAAAAAGAAGGGGTCTTTCTATGTCTGCACAACGGAATTCTATATAGTCATTACAAAACTATATACGCCTTAGAGAGACAGTACAGCAGGTAGAAGCTTGCCTTGCACACAGCTGACGTATGACCAATCTTTGGAACCCCATATGGTAGTCTGAACACAACTCTGAATGACTCCTGAGTGCAGAGTTAGAAGTAAACACTGAGCACTGCTAGTTGTGCCCATCAAACAACAATAACAATAACAAATATATACTTATATAACAAGATCCTTACACGATACTCTGTTTTATCATGGTAAAATATTGAAGAGAATAGCTAAGATGATGCGTTTGAAGTTTGAAAACACACTACCAAACTTTCATCTAAACAGATTGCCCCAAGATGTGCCAGTAATATCCTCTGACAGTATTAGGTTTGGGAATTTTCAAGTCAAGATACCTCTTTGTAGGGGGAGGCAGTTGTTCCATATCTGGCAATGCTCAAGGAATATTCCTGGCTCTATACCCAGGAATGATCCCTGGAACTGCTGGTGAGGGTGGTGGGTTATATGTGGTGTCAGGGATTCAACCAGGGTCAGCAGTGTACAATGCAAGCACCTTAATTCCTATATTATCTCTCTAGTCCCCAAAGTAACTTTTAAAATAAATATAAACCTTTTATGATTAATCTTATTTTGTGGGGAGGGCACACAAGGCAGTGCTTCGGGTTTACTCAAGACTGCACTCAGGGATTATTGCTGGTGGGCATGAGGGGACCATATAGGATGCCTTTAAACCCAGGCTGGCCACATGCAAGGCCACATGCAAGGCCACTAGACCTCCCCACTATGCTCTCTCTCCATCCTGATTAATCTTTTTGAAATCATATTTTAGGATCCAGGGATGTGATACAAGTAGTAAAGAATGAGTCTGATATGCATGAAGCCTGTGTTTAAAACCTTGATCTCATATCTGAAGAGCAAGAGATTGCTAGGCAAAGTAGAGGAAGTTGGGCAACACAGGCTGAGAAAACAGCAGGTCCTGAAACCCACAATGCTAATGATTCTGTGCGTCATGTTTTATGTGGCTGGCTGGCAGGCAAGGGGAGTGTGAAGAGAGAAAGATCCTGCATCCCATGTGAGGAGCTTAGCAGCAAGCTGTGTGGGCTAGAAAAGGACTTTACATAGGGGAGTGGCATGACTGACTTTGTAATTTAGAAATTTGTTTTTAGAAATAAAATGATCACAAGACATTCTTTGGGGAACAAATGCAAATGCAAGATGGACACACAACCTGATTCTGGACGGGAAATACAACACTAGCACATTTTGAATATTGCCTAATAGATCAAACCTAAAGCTAAAAGAGAATGGAGCCTTCTGACATCTAGGCAATGTAATGACAAATAAGAAATTGCAAACAAGAAACTGCATGTAATGAGAATTATGAAACTGTAATGAGATCTAAGAAAATGTAATGGGGACTGGGAACCTCTGAAACTGACCCCAAGGTTAACTGGGAAAGGAAAGAAGAATTTTCCCTTTGGATGACCCTTATCAGCATGGATAAAGACCCACCAGATGTAAGGGAGAGCACTGGGCCCACCAGATTTATGGGAGCACATGGGAGGTGACACATGAAGGCCACACCAAATGGGCTAGCGATACTGATGCAGACTTTTTGGAGAGCACCTGAAGGCTGGAAAAGATGCCTTTTTTTCCCTTTTGTAGATTATAGCTCTCTTTTAGAGAATAAAAGGAAGACCCTCTCAGCAAACGGGGCTCCAAGTCTCTTTCGACTTGGGGTCCTCAGTGCTGAGCCTCTAATAAACTCACTATCCTCTCATGAGCACTCTCTCTCTCTCTCTCTCTCTCTTGTTCATTTGCAGCTCATGCCAACACAATAGGTACTAAGTCATCAATTCATAAATATTCAGAGCTGAGTTCCCTCAAAATTTACTTGGTTCCAGCCAAACATTTTTACAGGAAAGGATACCTGTAAACAACTTAACAAAGATGGCAATAAGGATGCTTATCCACTTGCTGTGTACATCCTTACAGAATTCTATTTTATAGAGATCATACATTGGAAACAAAATTTCCTATCAACTAAAAAAAATGTGATGTACACATTTACTTCTTAATGACAACAAGCAAAATTATAAAATAGCATTTAGAATAGATAATAGAAAGCTTGGAAGATAGTTCAATGGGATAGAGTTCAAGCTAGATTCAATCTTTGGTACCACATGGACCCCTGAGCACTGCTAGAAGTACTCCCTCAGCACCAGCAGGCGTGGCAAAAAAAAAAAACAAACAAAACCAAACAAACAAAAATGGAAAATTGCTAAATATTCAGTTTAGTAAAAAGTAACCTTTATTTTTAAAACAAATAAAATTCCTTAAACTTCAAAATAATTGGTATGATCTAGCTGAAAATAAATCTTGTTGCAAATGTGTTCTTTTTTTAGTTTTCTCACATTTCTAACATTAGTTAATCTTACATTTGACAAACCATGGCACACTGTCATTTGGACTTGAGATTTTTTTTATTTAACCACATATATATCTATTGGTCTTTCCCTTCTCTAACCCACCACCATATCAAAGTATTTTTTTAATCTCCTGGAACAAAAATAAAGTTCCAGCCAGGAGAGTTAAAAAAAATAATCAGTTTTCAAAATTCTAATCCTGTTTTGTTTTTGTCCTTTTTACTTCTGCTTAAATTATAAACTAAGAAATAACTGTCTCCAAATTGCTTTCAATTCCCCATTAATTAGTGTTCCCCAACAACTCATTCTAAGGTGATTAAATGAAATCTTGCAACATCTCCCCAGTACCACATAACCACAAATAACTCATACCAATAAGTTTAATTGACGTGTCACTTGCAAGCTGTCAAAAGAGCAAACGTCAACATACTGAATCTTTTCTGCCTTGAATACATAACTTATCTGTATCAAGGGCTTACTGAAGAAAGCTGTCTATTCTCTTGGCTCTGACTATATAAATTAACAAGAAAAGCCTGTGTATGGTCACAAACCATGAGCCATTTTAATCCCATTTGCTCGGAGGTCATGGGAGATCATATACAGATACTATCACATGACAGAGCAAACCTTGTGCCCAAGACTTGAAAATATTATCGAGGGCCGCTGGAGTGTGAACATGAGTTAGGGTGGTAGGAGATGCCACTGCCACCATCCACAACACACTTTGCATACGTCCCAAAGTTGGGGTCCTAGGAACAGAGCAAAATATGCAGAGAGCAGAATGTCCTTCCTTTTCAACTTCTCTAGAATCTCTTCTTTCAATGCAATGGTCACTCTTTCAAAAAGCCTTCTTTGACCCACTTTGAATATGTTTCCCAGGGCCTTTGATCAATCTATTCTCTCCTTCGGGAAAGATGGAAAGATTGACTCCAAAGTTAGCAACATCACCAATCGCTGAGCCAAGAAGTCTTCCACTGGAATTTCTATGCAGATTCTACCCACTCTAGAACATCCTCTCTCCTAGAAAGGCTACACAGGTTAAGCAAACGGGCTTGTGCTTTCTAATTCCTATTTTCCCCTTCCAACTCCTTCCATCTCATGCTGCACACGTTCTTCAAAATCCACCTTGTAAGAGATGAATCTTCATCTCAAAGCAGAATGAAACCAACACACAGAAACGTGGGGTGGCAGAGAACAAACAGCACAGTTGAATAGATAGGAGCCAAATTCCAGCCTGATTTCTAAATACTCTAGAAAGGGACTATCTTGAGCCAGGAGAGACATCACTTTATTTTCAAACAAAGACTCTGTCAGCTGAACTTTCTTCTGAGATGCAGCAAGGTGCTACATATACTAGATAGATATGTGATAATATCCGGGGCACTTCAGAGCTTTTCCTAGTCTTCCCGGTTACACATCAACACATGCTTTTTTAACCTCTGCTGACTTCAGTTTGCATTGTTCTGTTACTTGCAGCCAAAGAAGTTCTCACTGTTATAACAAACAAACCTGGGTTGATTTAGATTGTCCTAAATCCTGTTCGTTTTCACCTTAAACTTCCCACGAGCCATTATTTTTCAACTCTTTCTTGTCAGTTACAGAATAACTAATTTTCCTTTTCCTTTTTAGAGACTGAGATGGCTTTCACGCACCTGTGCACCAGAGAAATCCCGCTGAGCCTAAGAATGTGACTGCTGGTTTCTTCATAGGAAATGATTACTCACAACTCTTCCAAAACTTCTGGTCACTGCTATACTGCTGAACCCAGTAGCACAGTTTGCTCTCCAAATACTGACAGATCTCCCCTCCACTGACAGATCCATCACTAATTTCTCCACACAAACCGTGGTGTGTTTTTGTTGTATGTTTCTGGTTTTAGTTGTTATTTAAGGATGGATTACTTACCCTCTCTGGTATCTGTCTAGCTCATGGAGAACCGTGTGGTCACAGTATTCAAACACCAGGTGAAGCTTCCGCTTCCTCCTGAAAACTTCAATAAGGTTGACAAGGTTGGGATGCTTGAGTTGCTGCAAACACAAGAGACAAGGGGATCAAATGTGAGCTGTAAAAAAACACTTTCTCAAATTTTGACCCAGTGGGAAAAAAGAAAAAAAAAGATGTTTGTTCTTTAAGAATATTCCTGTCTTGAAAGAGAGGGATAGACATAGAAAGATAGCATTCATCTGGGGGATATAAAATAATAAAATATGAGATTAATACCCAAGAATAGCTGAGAGCAACACCAGGAGAATTACTCCATAACTTAGAGGCCAGCTGGGTATTCTAGGGGAAAGGACAATTCAGATAGAAAGGGGAACACCAAGTGGAGGGTGTTTGGAGGATCCTCCCAGGAGGGGAGATGCAGGTTGAAAGTAGACTGGACTGAACATGTTCGCCACTCAATGCCTCTTTGGCTGATCACAGCGCCCAGGAGGAGAGAGAGAACAGGGGGGAATGCCCTGCCACAGTGGCAGGGGGGATGGGGGGATGGGAGGATGGGGGGGGAGGGATATTATCCTGGTGGTGGAAAATGGGCACTGGTGGAGGGATGGGTATTTGATCGTGGTATGACCGAGATCCAAGCACAAAAATTTGTAAATCTACAACTGTACCTCATGTCGTTTCACTAATAAAAATAAAATAAAATAAAATAAAAAAATTTAAAAAAAAAAAAGAATATTCCTGTCTTGGACTGCAGGAGACCATATGCAGTATTTCTTACTTTACTTTATACACTACCCGTTAGTTACTTGTAATCAAAAAATAATTATAACCCAGGTGGACCATACCTGGCAGTGCTCAGGGCTTACTCATGGCTCTTTGCTTAGGGAATAACTCTTAGTGGGGGCAGAGCATCATATCGGATGCCAGGGATTGAAGGTGGGTTGGTCATACACAGGGCAAGCTCCCTACCCATTGTACTATCACTCTGGCCAAATTTTAAACTACTAACACCAACCCATCCTTTAAAACTGATCAAGTCTCTTCCTAAGAGACATTGTCTCCTGCCACCCTCTGACTGCCACCACGTATTTCTTGATAAATATGTTTTTTATGTGTTTTATAGTCCCTCTGAAAGATTAATCATCATTGGTCAATTGTTTGTTAATTGTTTAATGCTGTCAACAGATGCAAGAGATCCACCAGACAGACCATCAGAAACATATCATCAGGGTCTGAGTTCCCTTATTTACTCAAAATTACATTAGTGGTATCCCAGTACAGAGCCACACACATGCTAGGCATTCAATAGTTGGTTGTGAAAGACTTGTCAATAAGGTTTCCAAGGCTGATGAACATTCTAAAACAGAACACTGAGTGCTGAGTGAAAAGCCGGAAGGCATGTATCTGAAAAGAGGGCCAGGAACAAAGGTTGGCTTTGGAAGATCAAAACTTGTTCTTATCTTTCTGGCCCCTCTCTCCATAATGCCCCCAGAAACACCACAGTAGTTAAACTGTTCAAGCAGCAAACATTGTTAGGCAATGGTCCAAGGGGTAAAACAGAAAAACCACAGCTTCTTAAGGCATAGTCTCAAAAGTCAGAAATGACTTCTGCTCTTTCTAGTGGTCAAAGCAAATCACAAGACCCACCTAGATCTGACCCTGCTGAAGAGGAAGAGCCAGTCATCCTTGCCAAGGTTCCCACCAACCAAGACCCCACTTCCACCCCCACCTGGATTTAGCTGACTGGGTGAAATAGTCAAGTCACAGAACTGTGGGAAGTAACTAATTTTTCTGTTTTGTTTTAAGCTACACAGATGTGGGACAATTTGTTAATTGATACAAGCAATAAATATAATAGATAATTTTGCAACAGAATCAGCAGATGAAGTGGGAAGGGGGGTAGGAATTTGAAAACTCCAGATGCCCAGGTCCCTGCCTAGAGAGCTTGAGGGGTTTCAGGCAGGTAACAGGTATCTACTTGGGTTTATTTGTTTGTTTGTTTGTAGTCAGTGCTGGGAATCAAACTCAGGCTCTCACACATGCAAGACAAATGCTTGGTCACTGTGCCATATCTCTGGCTCAAGGCATCCATTTTTGCCAATGGAACATTCTACAGAGGTTCAATATGTAGTAAGGTATTAATTGCAGGCAAGTAGAAAATTTACTGATGATAGGAGGTTCAAAGGAAAAAACTGGAAGTTCTTGAACTGCACAATGTAGTGTATTTGTATAAGGAAAATACTGATGAAGATACCACCCCCTCTTTCTCTCTCTCAAACCCTCTATCTACTCAAGTTCCTACTCCAGGCATCACACTCGATAAAACACATATCAAACAGCAATTCCTGTGTAGCCTGTGACTTTCACAGGGGCCAGAGTACAGATGACACTCTGAGACAGAAAACCTCCCAGTTATGGTTTTATACCTAGAATCTGTTAGCCTGAGCTAACATTTTCTAAAGTAGAATAGCATTGAGTCCCCTCTTAAAGAATAGCACTGGCGCAGATGTGTTTCAAGCAGAAAGCCAGCAATTGATTTCAAAGGGATGAAAGGATGGATTTATGACAGAATAAACCTCTGCGGAGGGCAGAGGTTTACTCTCAGGTATTGAAGAAAATCTCTGCCTACAAGTCCAGCATTTGAATCTTAGATGCTTTTCATTTTTCATATTCCCTCTGTTGGCCTCGCATCTCCAGCCAACTCAGCAAAAGTACAAATGAAATAATTCTACCAAACCTAGCACCATCTCTCTGTGTCAAGTCTTCCAACTCATGTCACACCCGCAGCAATTCCCCTGGGGCACTGCTGCCAAGGTAAATCCAAAAGACCTCTTGGTTTCACATCAACTGAGTGCAACCTCATCTCTTACCCATGCCCACCCAAACAGACTGAATCCTCCACTTCCTTTCATTATGGTACAAGCCCATCTGGTCTTCTCTCCTGTTTTTTTTTGGGGGGGGGGAGGGAGTATGGTGGTGAAGGCTTGGGGGCACACCCAGCAATGCTCATGGCTTACTTCTGACTCTATGCACAGGGATCACTCCTATAATTGTTCAGAGAGCTATATGCGCCATCAGGAACAGAACCTGAGTTGGCCACAGGCAAAGCCAGCATCTTTCCCTGCTGTCCTCTCTCTCTAGCTCCACCCACATTCTCTTTGAAGCATCTTCTCCCTGTTGATGTCATACTCTCGCTGGGCCTCCTCTGTCACCTCCTCCAACCTTAGCTTACTTGGCAAGAACCCAAGGAGCTGGTGAAGAGCACTGTCACAGGCACAGAGTGAATCAAGCAGGACTGAAATAAATTACACCCTTCTCTTACTCTAACTCTTTTGAAAGCCTAGAATCTATTAACAGTAGGATACTCAATTCAAATAACACATAGATTCTTTCCAACTGGCTATTACAAATCAAATTATGATAAACTAGACTAGCTGGTGAGGCTTCTCTTTGAATCACTAACATTTTTTGGCCTCAGAGTTCCCTCTGCAAGAGTAAGAAGCTCAGGGTTGCTGTCGCAGCATTTTTACACATAAAGCACAAACGAATGTGCCAGACCCCTACTCATCTCATCAGGAAGGTTAACTGCTAACATTGTGATTTGAGGTTGTGATTTGAGGTTGATTTTGGCAGGAAGATATACACTTGGCAGTACTCAGGGGCCATTCCATTCACTGATTCTCCTGGTGGTGCTCAGGGGACAAGTGGTACTGGGGACTGACCTCAGGGCTCCCACATGTCAAGCATCTTCAGCCCTTTCAGTTACCTCCCTGACCCTGATTCTATTTTTATTAAGGATGATTGTAACTGTTCACTAAATTGCTTATCTTAATGCCCCAGAAGTACTCTAATCATCCTGAGGTTGCTGTGACGAAGCACTAACTGCCCTCACCCATATAGCTCATGGAACCTAGAAGTGAAACCAAGCATTAAGCAAAGAATCAGGTAGTATTAGCATTACTAAAGAGTTAGATACAGAATGCAAGATACAGGGGCAGGGTGAGCTTTGAGTGTCTAAATAGAGATGCCTAACCTGCTTTCCAGAAGGAGAGTGAAATCTTCTGGGGATGAGAGTACTTTCTACCACGTGGAGTCCCACTTTGAGGCATGCGAAGCTTTGGTGTGTGTTGACATGTTATTTTCTGAGAATAAGTCAGCAGCAATACAGAAAGGTATCATTTTGGTTTTTCATTTGTCTTTTTTGTTGACAAAACTTTGTTTTACTTTAAATAGATACTAAAAAGTAGAAAACGAGGGCTGAAAAGATAGTACAACAGGTAGGGCAATTGCCTTGCAAGTGACTGATCAGTATTCAATCCCCAGCAACCCACAGGGTCCCCACAGCTCCACCAGGAGTGATTCCTGAGCACAGAGCTAGGAATAAGCCCTGAGCACAGTGGGGTATGGCCCAAAACAAATAAAAAAGTAGAAAACCTTGATCCGGAGAGACAGGACAACAGGAAGGGCAGTTTCCTTGCACATAGCCAACCCAGATTCAATCCCTCTTTCCAGCTGCTGAGCCCCACCAAGAGTGCTCCCAGAATGCAGAGCTCTGAATGCCACTGGATGTGGCACTCCCTCTCCCCCAAAATAGAAAATCTTAATGCTATGTAGCTTAATATCCACTTAACATTTTTGACTTGTTGAAATATTTTTGATTTTGTTACAGTACAAAATATTGAATTTTACATTTTCAAACACTATTAAGAATTGCTTTTCTCTTCACACTGCCAGTATGTTTCTAATATGTCCACATATCTTAAACAGTCTATCTCTGGCCTGTTCCCCCTGGCGGTTAGGTGATCACCATCCTCCAGAAGCTACTGGACAGTCAGGTTTGGGCCCGCAGTGACGAGACACACAGGGCCTCATTGGAGTGGAGCCGGCCCTTTCCTCCCTGCCCCAACAAGATCCCGAGTCACCACCCACGAATGGCCTCTCTGGCTCCTGATCAGGCTGCTTAACGGCCATGATCCAAGAGACTCTGAAACAAATCTCAGAACCCAACGGCTTTTGGCAGAAATGCGTCCAGTCCCCGCAGTAGATTACCAGAACCGGGTCACCCCAGGGGGAATAGGTTTCA